GAATCTGTGCATGTCGTTTCTGCGGGTTCTGCTCTCAGGACGGGATGTCCGAGGCCTTGACCTTCTGATATTTCGAGAGGACCTTCATCTCCGTGTTTCGCTCCTTGATCTTCTTATCCATCGCTTTCTGAACCTCTTCGCGCTTCTTCTCGGCCTCTTCCATCTTCTGCCTGATCTCCCTTGCGACCTGCTCTTGTTCTTTCAGTGCCGCTTCGGGCGAGGGGAACTCTTGGCGTAGTTGCTCGAGCTGCGCGCGCACCACTTCATCCATTTCGATTGGCTCACAGGTGACTGGATTATACTGGTGTGGCTGTAGAGGTGGGCCGGGAACACGGATGCTCGAGAGAAGTTCGTGGATGGGAGTCGTGCGAAGCGGCGAGTCGAGCGGGACCAACTTGGCTGCAGGCGACGGTGTCGGCTCAGAAGGCGGCGAGAGGGGGAGTTGTTGCTGATCCATTGCGGCTGGAGGCGGCGCATTCACTTTGATTTTTCACGGGGTGAAGAAGCGTGCTAGAGAGCTGGAATAGCTTTGCGTGCGCCAACACCAAGTTTTCTCGCGCGCGATCGTGTCTTGGCTTGAGAGTGTTGCTGAAGCTCGGCCAGTTTTGTCTCGGACGCAATTGCTGCGGACTCAATGATTCACCGCCAAACATCGTTAAGGGCGGTCAGTTTCTGCCGACAGTATTGCTAGATATGCCGCCTTCGCACGGAAGGCGTGTGGGGAGAGCCGTCGGACGTATCGGAGATGGTGTCGACCGGCGACGTTATCGTGATAAGTGTGGATTGCTCTGAAAACCGTCTGGGGATTTTGATGAAACGAGTGAACCTATTAGGGTCTTGAACTGTAGGCCTTGAGCTTACCAGCTATGCAGGCTTTTGGTATGTTTTCTGCGTTTGCGCCCGACTCTTGCATATGACACCTCAGGGCGCTGTGACCTCATCTCTCTCCTGAATCTCTTGCGCTGACTCTTGAGCGCGATATGCTAGTCCCGAAGAACAGGAGAGTAAGTGGGACTGCTTGTGTCGGTACTTAAGAGTTGCGAGTGCTGATATCCGGTCATAGCCTAAATTTGAATTGGTGCTGAGAGTAAGGACTTCCCCGTCAAGAACCCATCGCAAGCGTTATCTGGAGCTGACAATTGAGGGCTTTCTCTCAGGTCATTGATCTCAACAATGTACCCCTTGTGAATGGCACAGCGTTTGTCAAGTGGCGCCTTCCTTCTGGGTGTGCGCCCGAACATCATGGGCATACCGACAAAGCGGTCATTATAGACCACAGAGCATCTTGGAACTACGAGAAAGTGCTGCAAGTCCGACTGACGATCGATCGAAACCAGACGCTTCACGAATGCGAACTATACTTCGAGGTTATACAAGAGTTTGCGTCAGGAGGAAATAATAATGAGAAGAGCCTTCTGGGAAAGATCAGGCTCAACTTGTCAGAATATGTGGACAAGAGTGACGACGATGAGGGCATTGTCAGGCGCTACTTGATGCAGGACAGCAAAGTCAACAGCACGCTTAAGGTCGGGATAGCTCTACGCCAGGTTGAGGGTGATCGGAACTTTGTTACGTGCGTTCGACCGTCGCATCTAGACATCACCTGGAGTATTTGCGGACTGACAATTTGACCTCCTCCAGGCCCCCCCTCAAATCAGCGATGGTGTTCGGAGGGATCGCCGGTGTTGTCTCTACCGAACAAGGCGAGCACGACGACCTTGGCAGGCTGCCGTCCATAAATTCCCAGAGCAGAGAGGTCACTGACATGCAGGACATGTATCGCCGTACTCTGGCCGCTTCTTGGATTTCGAGAGCCGATGACCTACCGGCGGATAAGCTGATTGAAGAGTTGTTTGCCGGGAGCATCAGCTGGGCAGAGAACCAGCACTCGCCGTTTGCAAACTCCACAGATCACCACGCTGACCGGCTTTCCCCGTATAGCCGGACGGGCATAAGGCAAGCTTCGACGGAGAATCGTTTGTCGCCTAGTAGCTTCGAGAAGCGACCTCGGAGCTCATCCAGCAACCATTTCCGGAATGAACCAAAGGTGTCCGAGATGAGTTCGAGCGCGGATCATACTAGGAAAGATGGAAGCATCGAACAACAGCTCCACGACAATCCAAGAGGGAGGAGCTGGAAAAGTCGTAATGCGGACCACGAATTATCCGAGTTCGATGTCCGCGAAGACCTACGGAGTTGGGAAATTGCAAGCAAAGAGTGAATCGCGGCGGTTGTGAAGTTTGTGAAGTCGGTTGACAAAACCACAAGTTGTATCCCATCAATTGTACATAGTCTCAGTGTCGATTGCAAATCCTGAATTGAAAGGTGTCTTAAAGATTGGTCATGGTGAGAGACAGAAATGGTTTTCCGTATTGTACAAGCCTAATCAAAGAGTAGAAAAGTGGATGAGCCGAAGCCCCCCCGGAAGCTGACATGGCTATTCTGCTTTAGGACTAGCGTCCTCGGCGATTGCCTCCATTCTTTTTGAGCTTCAAGATTTCGATCACGCGAGATTTCAGACTCCGAGATTCACCCCAACGCCTCGTCATCCATATGAATTCCCGGTCGTCGAAAGGAGTAGTAGGGCTCCTTAAATGTCCGCTGCGCCCCTATTGCAGAACGGAAAACACCCTTCCATTGCGCAGGCGCAATGTTATTGCTCGATTCAAATCCGACAAATACACGGACGATCCGGGCGATAGCGTCGGGGGCTTCTTTTCTTTAGACGACCTTGAAGCAGAGGAGTCCAGACGTCGGCACGGCCGCATCAAGCGCATGCGTCGTGTCTTGAGCGAGAAAGAGCAAGTAAGACGACAGAAATCGAAGAGCCACACGATACCAATCTCGGTGCGTTCTCTGGGAGACCCGGCTCAGGTCGTGGTTATCCAGGATCGCAAACGTCGCAGACGCTCGCAGATTATCGCAGAGAAAGACTCGTCGGAAGAATCCAAGGGCGAGCACTTTATGCTGAAGGAATTGGAGAAAGACGCCGCTTTTGCCGATGAAGATCTCTATATCGCACACATTGACGAGCTAGGCTCTCCTTACCAACCCTACGACAAATTAACACGCGCCGACTGGAATGATCTTAGATATAACCTTCGCTCATCCTTCAAGATCTCACAACTCTCTGATTACATTCAACAACGAATCGACAAGGAAGGCCAAGACACACTCCAGGGTGACTCTGAAGGCAAACACTGGCTACCTGGGGTGATGAATCTCATGGAGTTGGTACCCAAACGTGCTTCTATCCGAACTGGAGCACTTCAGGGTTTGAAAGGGAAGGATGCTTTTGCTGAGAAAATTCTTCGGGATTGCTGGCACCTGAGTATCGCTGGCGAAGTCGGCCAGCTTGATATCCCCATGCCTGACACCGCATTTCATACGCTGCTGAACGCCGAAAACTTCTCGTTTGAGGAGCTCGCTGTGTTACACGATGTTAAAATCGATGTCTCCCAGGTTTTACAGATTATGAGGGTAACCGGACGACAGGAAGCATGTGAGTCCATCAGGGACATCGTTCGTGACGCCACCATGAGAATAAAGGAGGAAGGCCTCACGCTACCAGTCAGCGAGAACGACATAACTGCTAATGCCCGCGTCAAAAGCCCTGACTTTTTATCTTGGCTCAACAAGACTTATGGGGTGACCTTTGATGGGAAGACATCAGAAACACCCAGGCGGATGTTCTATCTTGCTGAGAACAAACAGCAGGCGGATGATGCTCACAGGACGCTGCATCTTGCATGGCATAGCACAAACAACCATCCTACCCCGTTCAGTACATACATGCCTGCTACCGAAATGGCTAGCATCAATAAAATCGACCCTGAGCTCAACACACCATGGTTTGATCGACGACATTCGTGGTTCAGATGGGCGGTTACACATGAGACCGGCGAGGTCTTGACACCCGGCTCCCTGTTAGAAAGGCGCAAATTTTTTAACAAGCATCAGTTCCGTTTGTCCAATGTGCTTCTCAAATTGCTTCGGAATCCCAATTTCAACAAGACCATTGGCATCGAGAATCCCACCGATACCTGTGAGTCGGTCACTGCGGCAGTTGGAAAATGTCTTTTCCTCCGCAAGCCTACCTTTGAGGAGACATCGGTCAGCGCGCCTCAACTTGGCCGGCTGTCCCTCCCACGTACATTCGCTACAGATATACCTCGTGCGGCACCGTTCTTGAACAATCTGGTGCCTCAGAGGTCCGATGAGCAACAGGTGCACCGCATCCGATTGGTTCCTTCAGCTTTCCATGCCCAGGTCTTCCCGCAACTCGAGGTGGAAGTCACAGTGAATACTTCCAAGTCTCCATTTTACACCGGCCCTGAATTTGCCCTTCAGAGCGCCAAGGTGGTTTTAGCTGAAAGCAAACTCGATTTTCTTCTCCCAGAGAACGGGCTCGATCTCCGATTCAGCCGACGCTTGACCCATGAGCTTCCTACGGGCTCCGCAATCGATCCATCATTAGGTGCACTTGAGGAGAGCCTGGGAAAGGTTTTCCGTCAGTCTCTCGAGTCCAGCGGTAGCGAAGTACCTCTTCCCAGCTTCACTCAAATCACCCTTCCTCGTAAGCTTCTGGGCCAGACCCCGGCCACAGAAGGTGAAACCTTGACGGCAGACTACATTTTCCTGCCGGTGAACGACGCCCGAGGCACTCGGGTCCACAGATACAACTACGGCGGCCAGCAGCTCAACTACTCATACTACGAGAGTGGGCCTTTCTTGCCTCATCGTGTCACCGAGCTCTTTTTGAGAAAGGACATCGGGAACCCTGACTCGGCCCTATCGAACGCCGTTCCTGGCGCGACTGACCCCGTGGTTGAGGATGGTTTCCATGAATTCTATAAATCTGCATGCAATTTGGCGTTTGACGTGGATATGGCCCGCCAAACGGAGGCGGCCTCTGAAGGTCCGGAGGTGTTCTAGATCCCAAAAAGTGTCTTCTGGCGTATAGGATTAGACCACATTTTCATGTATTTATATTTCTTGGGGGGACTTTTGGCATGAGGCATGTATACTACGAGAGAACTAATGGAATAGGCTCAGCTCAGTGCTTGCGGGGAGAAAATAAACGCAGGTCCGAGTCTCGGGCGCCTGAAGAGTACTGTACCCATGCTTCTGTCCAGCCACTTTTTGTGGCCGATGACAGAGCAGTATACTACCATTTGCCCGAATCAAAGCTAGTCCACATCACTTTCGATAACACCGGAGCCCGACGAACCCATATGCAACATTACATCGACGCGGAGGGGGATCAAAAAGAACCAGCTCAAATGCCCACGAACCGATTAAAATCGGCAATTCCCCGTCGAAGCCCCAACTCCCAGGCCCGATGGTTCCCTTCCAGCCGTGCAACGTCGCTTGCCCGTCGACGAGCCCACAACTCCACCTCCCCGATCCTGTCCGCCCCCTCGCGCTGCGGCACCAGCCCTTCCACCGCGGCATCGAAAAACCGCAGCGCATCGCTGTATCCCAGATCCCAGCCGTGGACGAAACTCTGCCGCCCGACCGCACGGTGGCAGTATTTCTCCTTTGCCCTCTCCCCCTTCTCCCCTTTCACTTCCTCCTCCTCTCCCTCCCGGTGCGCCAAGGCCTCCCTCAGTAACTGCGGCCGCTCGATCCGGGCTTGCTGGGCCTTTGTCTGGACTTCGTCCCGCGAGAGTAGCAGATGGCCGGGGGCCGCCGGGGGTAAGTTTAAGGTCGCCCTTCCTGCCGGTGCTGGCTGTTTAGAGTCGGCCTGGGGTAGTTGGTGGTGGAGCAGCGTCTCGCAGTCACGGAAGAGTTCGGTCCCCGCGGGGCTGTTATCGCCGATGTACAGTGGCAGAAACTCGTCGATGGCGCCGACTATCATCCGGATCTCCTCGTACCAGTCGCGGAGATTGGAGGAACCCGGCCTCGGCGTCTCCTTTGATGTAGAGATCCGTAGACCGACCACCCCGTGCAGGGCGTGGAAGGTTACCTCCTGGGCTACGAAGGCGATACAGTCCCGGGCGAGTGCGAGGCGCTCGGGGCTGGAGCGGAGGTCTACCCCGTTGGTGGTAAGGTCGAAGTTGAGCAGGATCCCGATTCCGTGGGCGTGGCACCGCTCGATGAGATGCTTGATGGCGGACCAGCAGCGCGTGTAGACCTCGGATGGGGCGCCCTCGAAGGGGGTTCCTTGGCTGAAGAGAGGACCGAGGGTGAGGAATCCAAGGGGCAGTTGGATCGTGTTGCAGTGGCAGGTATCTCTGAGCCAGAGCAGCTCGTCGTTTGGCAGGGCGGAAAGCCAGTGGGATTGCCATGTTGAGGTGGTGGATTCGAGTCCATTCGTTTCGATGGAGCTGTTTAGGTTAGGTTCAACTCATGATGCAAGGGTTTGAGATCTTATGAAGGGGTGAGACAGACCTTGTTAGTGCTTCTAGCTCGTTTGGCGCGGTGGTTTGGTGGAGGGACGGGCCTTGTGTGAAGGTAGATCCGAAGTTCACTCCGTAGAAGCGACGGAAGCGAAATATATCTTGGCCCCGAGGGGGGAGTGGACAGTATAGATCTGACATTTATCCGCGAATAATGAGAAGTGTTGGATTAGAGATCGAGCAAGTATGCTGCTTGTTAGTTGACTTAACGGTAGTGTTGAAAATCGCAGGTGGTAAACAGAGTGTTGATGCTGGCAGTAATCATCAGTAGTGCGTGCAGACTGTCGCCACAGATATTCAGAGAAACTGCTATCCTGCTCATGAACAGCAATAGACGAGAGAAGGACCGGTGATAGCTCGAGTTCACAAGTCGATAATGTCACATGGAGATTCTATTAGTTGGGGAGCTGATCGCTGTCAATTTGCACTGAAGCCAGGTGGATTTCCTAATTGGGAAATGCTTCACAAGCAAACGATCATGTTGATCTGTACTGGATTTATGACTAGCCAAAGGCTTCAATTGAGCATGCAAGAGCAGTGCGAATTCTCTTTTGAGACTGACCAAGGATATTAGTGACTTGTGGTTGGCATGAATTAGTGTACGAAGTATGGTCAGTTACAAGTTACAGGGGGGCAATGGTAGTAGATCACATGGGTGGGCAGATTGACGTAGTTGCAGCAGCCATCATCGGACCTGTACTGTACGTATTTGTAGCGAGAAAGGCGAGGGGCTCCGCATTAGGCCGAGTTGTCCGTGCCCGCTACTGAAATTAACCCCCCTCTCCAACTTTGTTGCAAGTTAATGTTTGTTATCCTTCTCCCCTTCAACAAATCTTCAACAATCTGGGGTTTTTGTTTCTGTCCTTCCTTCTTGTGTTCAGATAGTTCTTTTTGTCATCTCTCTTTGTGTTCTTTTGCCTGTCGTCATACTTACCGACCGTGCCGGCGCACTGAACCTCAATTGTTGCAACCCCCCCCCCCCAGCCATGAAGCTTATGCGGAGACAGTGACAGCTAAGGCATGGAGAGAACACGAGTTGCTAAGGTTAGTCCCATCACAGTGGAGAACGGATAAATCTGAAACACAAACTGACGCTCTTCTGTCGATGATTCCCCAGGTTGAAGATGTGACCTTGGCGCGTCGCGGTGAACAGGTCGTCGGTACACTCCATCTTACCTCTCACCATATAATTTTCTCCTACATCCCTCCCTCGACCGATAAAACCCAAACCCCCAATGCTGCTGGCCGGTCAAAGGAGCTCTGGATCACATATCCAATTATCTCCTTCTGTACCTATCGCCCCACCCCCGCCGCAGCCCGCCAGCCATCTTCAATCCGGCTACGATGTCGAGATTTCACCTTTGTTTGCTTCTATTTCACTAGCGAGAGCAAGGCCCGAGATGTATACGAAACTATAAAGTGCTGGACCTGCAAGGTTGGACGCATCGATAAGCTGTATGCTTTTTCCTACCAGCCGCCTCCCCCCGAGCAGAAGTTCAATGGTTGGGAATTGTATGACGCCCGTAAGGAGTGGGCTCGGCAAGGCGTGGACCAGAATGGCTCGGGTTGGCGGGTATCTCAGTTAAACGCTGATTATGGGGCAAGTGTGACCTGAGAAAACAACGGAGTTTGCTACATCATTAACCATTGAACCTCAGTTCTCTGCGACCTACCCTGCTCTCATACCTGTGCCGACTACCATTTCGGACATCACGCTCAACCATGCTGGCAAATATCGATCAAGAGCAAGAGTACCCGCTTTGACGTATCTGCACCCTGTGAACAATTGCTCCATCACACGAAGCTCGCAGCCGCTGGTGGGTGTGCGCCAAAACCGAAGCATTCAGGACGAGAAGTTGCTCGCCGCGATCTTCTCGACTTCCCGCCCCGAACGACCGCTCGCAAACTTCACTCCGCCGAATCTGGAGCCGGAATCCTCCAGTTCGACATCGAGTGATCCGTCCACTAGTCAAATGCTGGCTGACCTGACCAACGCCGAAGAACTGGAAGATGAAATGCTGGCATCTTTTGCCGGCGACCCGGAGGAAAAGCCCCACATCTACGGAGCCCAGCAGCGCAATCTTATTGTTGATGCTCGTCCAACCGTCAACGCTTTTGCAATGCAGGCTGTAGGGCTTGGGTCGGAGAATATGGACAACTACAAGTTCGCTACCAAGGCGTACCTCGGAATCGACAACATCCACGTGATGAGAGACTCCCTCAACAAAGTGATCGATGCTCTCAAGGACTCTGATGTGACTCCCTTAGGGCCCAATAAGGAACAACTTGCACGGAGCAATTGGCTGAAACATATTTCGACGGTACTAGATGGCGCGGGTCTGATTGCCCGGCAGGTTGGGCTCCAGCATTCGCATGTTTTGATCCATTGCTCAGACGGATGGGATCGAACGAGTCAGTTGAGCGCATTGAGTCAACTTTGCCTCGACCCGTACTTCCGCACACTAGAGGGCTTTATGGTGTTGGTAGAAAAGGACTGGCTATCATTCGGGCACATGTTCCGGCACAGGGCCGGACATCTCAACAGCGAAAAGTGGTTCCAGATTGAGAACGAACGGATTGGAGGTGATTCGAATCGAGCATTTGGCGAGGCTGGTGGTGCCAGTAGAGCTATCGAGAATGCTTTCCTTAGCGCCAAGGGATTTTTCAACAGAGACAACAACAGTCGTGATTCTCTTGGAGAGTCGGATGGGGAGATGCAATCCTATGACGGCGACAATGCGAAGAAGCTTTCAGTGCCTAAAGCAACACCCGTGGAAAAGGAGGTAACCAAGGTCAAGGAAACAAGCCCGGTCTTCCACCAGTTCCTGGATGCAACCTATCAGTTACTCTACCAGCACCCTACCCGGTTCGAGTTCAATGAACGGTTCCTGCGACGACTATTGTACCACTTGTACTCGTGTCAATTCGGAACATTCCTCTTTAACAGTGAGAAGGAGCGGGTAGAGTGGAACGCCAAAGGGCGTACTCGGAGCGTTTGGGATTACTTCCTGGCACGGAGGGAACAATTCCTCAACCCTGACTATGACCCGCAGATTGACGATCACAAACGTGGAAAGGAACGTCTAGTCTTCCCACGCGTCAATGAAGTGCGGTGGTGGAGCGAAGCATTTGGTAGAACCGATGCTGAAATGAACGGCCCTCGGGCCCCTGGCTCGGGGTTATCGGTTCCCCGTGAGACTCCGAGTGCTCAGCGGTCGCCAGTATTGACTGGGATGGAGACTGCTAACCATTCTGTCGGCGCTGGCTCCGCTGGCAAAGATGCTAACAACGCCCCACCGAGCGGCATCGCAACTGTGACTGCGGGAATCTCTAATTTGGCCTTCCCCCAAAGCAAAGAGAACAACCAGGATACGAAAAGCATGAATCGCATGGAGCTTGAGATGCAATGAAGGAGTAGAGACACCAGTCGGCCTTCAAACTGATGAATTGACGCATTGCGTCGCAGTCGGTCTAGGCAGGCAAATCTATAAAAGGCGGCGAGTCTTCTGTTTGTTATCTAGCAATTGTGTCCTTAGTCTTGCTTTTTTGACGCTGCATATTCTGTCTTGGTTTCGTCGGTAGAGCTACAGTTCTAAGGCCGGGATGACCAGTGCATAGTCTAGTCGAGGCCAAAAGAGAGGAAACATGCCGAGTACCACCCATGTGGGGGGTTGCACAACCCCGCTGGATCTGTAAAGAAGTGTTTCTTGACAGATTGATGGTGACTTAGAAGGTGACCCATCCACTTCCTCAAAGTCTGGGAGAGAACCCCAAGGGGCAGTAAGTATAAAGAGAGAAGAAGAGAGTAGAAAAGAGACCGAAAGACCGAAAGTTTGAATGTTGTACTGAGTATGTTGTTACTTATGTTATTGTAGCAGTTGATGCCTGCATACTCAGGCTGGAATACCGGGGGGGATCTAAACTGGAAACTACAGAAAGGGCCCGGGACTCGGGAGGGGGAAAGCTTACCCAGAAAGGAAAGGTTCCCGCGGAGCAGCAAGCGAGGTTGAGCCCTAACCCGAAAAGGGATGAGCAAGCCCTAAAGCCAAAAACTGCCCACTACCGCCGACCTTCTCAAAACTGACTTGACCGCCGCCGACCAATTCGCCCTCGAACGACTACCCCCCCTTCAACCACCCGCGTTCTCGGCCGTTTCTTTCGCCAATTCACCACCCAGAAACGCAAACATGGCTGCTGTCCAGGGAGCTATTTCGAAGCGCCGCAAGTTCGTCGCCGACGGTGTCTTCTATGCCGAGTTGAACGAGTTCTTCCAGCGCGAGCTGGCTGAGGAGGGTTACTCCGGTGTCGAAGTCCGTGTCACTCCCACCGTCACCGACATCAGTACGTCGCCCGATTTGATTTGCTTTATCTTGTTTTGAAATCGGAAAAAGAGATGGAAGGGAGAATGTCCGAGGAAAAACCGAGAGGATGGAAACAATTGATGGTTCAGTGCGAGGAGGAGCTTGGAATAAATTGTGGATATGGATTGGGGACAAGTTGGAATATCAACAATGGAGGAAAACACCAAGGGAAACACGAATCGGTTGCTAACGGATGTTCTTTTTGCTACAGTCATCCGCGCCACCCACACCCAGGAGGTTCTCGGTGAGCAGGGTCGCCGCATCCGCGAGCTCACCTCCCTCATCCAGAAGCGCTTCAAGTTCCCCGAGAACTCTGTCTCCCTCTATGCCGCCAAGGTCCAGAACCGCGGTCTCTCCGCTGTCGCTCAGTGCGAGTCCCTCCGCTACAAGCTCCTTAACGGTCTCGCCGTCCGCCGTGCCTGCTACGGTGTCCTCAGATTCATCATGGAGAGCGGTGCCAAGGGTTGCGAGGTCGTCGTTTCCGGAAAGCTCCGTGCTGCCCGTGCCAAGTCCATGAAGTTCACTGTACGTTTTTGCCGATAAAATCACCCTGAAGCAGCCACGGAATATGGTCTCGATACAGCAGCCGGATGGATCGACGCAGTTTGTCCGCGAGCGCGACATGCGAAGCGATTTACGACTGCGCGAGGGTGATCGGGACCAAATTCGTCGAGCTTGCGGTTGCACGTCATGAAAATGATGTGCATTCGAACATAAAGGTTTCCGAGACTAACACGGTTTTTTTTCTCCACAGGACGGTTTCATGATCCACTCCGGTCAGCCCGCCAAGGAGTTCATCGACAGCGCCACCCGCCACGTTCTCCTCCGCCAGGGTGTCCTCGGTATCAAGGTCAAGATCATGCGCGGTTCTGACCCCGAGGGCAAGGCCGGCCCCCAGAAGACCCTCCCTGACTCCGTCACCATCATCGAGCCCAAGGAGGAGCAGCCCATTCTCCAGCCCATCAGCCAGGACTACGGTGCTAAGGCTCTTGCCGCCCAGCAGGCCGCTGAGCAGCAGCGTCTGGCCGAGCAGCAGGCCACCGAGGGCCAGGAGGGTGCCGCCCCCGCTGAGTTCGCTCAGGAGTAAAAAAATTAATTGGATTTTCCTCTTCTTTTTTTTTTTCTCTCTTCTTAGGCCCCCACCTGCTCTTTTCTCTTTTTCTTCGTTTCCTGTCCGACCTACCTATATCTCTCTTACCTGACGCAAAATAAACAAACTTCATGATCACTATCCATCCGGAAGAACCGTGTTTATTGTCATCTCCCTCGTTTTCCGCTTCCCGTGGCGGACGGGGGACGTCAGTATCTCCCTCAACAAGACCCTTTCATCCCTCTCATGTCTCTAATTACCTCGCTCGATATACACACCCTGAGTCGATATGACCTAGGTAGGAAAGACAGAAAACAAGGAAAAGAAAAAGAAGTCAAAATTCATGCCCGAAACGAGTTCTAGCCAAGCCTTTCTTTCTTGTCCCCACAATTCGTATGCCATACCTCGGTAAACTGTGGAGATCTGTTTGTACGTCGATGCTTAGTAGTCTTTGAGGGGTGTGTGGCCCCGCTCGTGCCTCAAGGTCAGACCTTCTGAAGGCTGGCCCAACTGGTCCCCTGTAGTGTCTAATCTATTCAGAGCGCGATTGCACACACAGTACTATTCAGATTCGAGGCGAATGAATCATGTGTTACGTAAGCGCATTTTTCACCTCTTCTGATCTGGCTTGCTTTTGATATTGCCCTTTTTGTCCTTTTTTTATTCGTTCTAACAATGACATTTTATTTCATGAGCCTCAGCTGTCTTTTGATCCCTATGTGTAAAAAATAGATCTAATCCCTCATGTCTACGTCTTCTCTCAGCCTGGGGTCATCAATCAATCATAGGAAAGCCTCAATGTTCAGCTCCAATGTGCTGACGGGGTACTTAAGGTCGTAGTTCTCCAGGACAGTGGGGTGCAGAATACCGAAGGAACCGATGACGAGCTCCTTGCCGGCTATGCGCACGTGGACGGAGGCGGCGTGGCCAGGGAAGTATGTGGGTTCTAGGGAAATCCAATTGCGTTAGTGTTGCTGTTCGTCCGTGGACTCGCCTTTCATGTTCGATGTGACAGAAAATTACTCACCATCAAGCTCCTCAATCCAGTACTGGGAATCAGACATGGCGGAGTTATCGAGTCCCTCCTCGCCGGTGATGAAGGCGCTCTTCAGCATGGCCATGACGCGGTCCAGAAGACCGTGGACGACCTCAAAACCGCTGGTCTTGCCGTACCAGGCGGCGGCGAAGTGGCGCTCGTTGCGGCTCTTGCGCTCCAGGGAGAGATCTTTGAAAGCGACGTCGCTGACCTCGAAGATCTTGATGGGGACGGCGTGGTGCTTGTTCTCGCGAATGGTCTTCAGGAGACCGGGCAGCAGGCTGGTGCGCACAACCTGGAACTCCTGAGTCTTGGGGTTGGCCAGCTTGACCGCCGTGTTGCCATCGTCCTTGCGGTTGAGCCAGCCGAAATTCTCGTCGTGCGAACACAGGATAAGCGGCAGCACCTCAGACCAGCCAGCCATGGCGGCTTCCACGCGCACAATGTCGGTGAGCTTGTTGATGGGGAGGGGCTGGGCGATGGTGCCGGACTTGCTGGGGAAGGAGCGGGGCAGGGAGTTGAAGCCGTAGGCGATGGCCACATCCTCCATGATATCGGCCTGGTGGAGCACATCCGCTCGGGTGGCGGGAATATAGACGTCGAGGATGTCGGGATTCGTCGTCGAGGGCTTAGCATCGTAGGCCATCTTCTTCAGGAGCGTGCAGATCTCCTCAGGCTTGAGTTCTAGACCGCAGCACTGGTTGATGTAGGAGACCTCCGCCTCGGCCTTGCGGGGACTGATGTCCGGAACGACTCGGGTTTCGTTGTTGTGCTCGGAGACGATCTTGATGGGCTCGATGCTGTATTGATTGTCAGTGGTGGGCTCCGCACGACATGTGATAGAAACCTACGTGAAAGGCTCAGTACAGTACTGAGAGAACATGGTCACCATCATACGGTTGACAATCTCCACTTTCGTCTTATCGAGCGCGGTAATCTCGATGAAGACATTCTTGGTGTCCAGGGTGATCTTCGAGTGATCGCTGTTGATGATGGGGGGCAGAGAGCAGACGGTTCTCTTCGAGTCGTAGATAACGGGGTAGACGGGGTGGTCCCGGATAATGTGCAGGTACTTGCCGAGGTGCTTGTCTTTCTATTCAGAGAATCAGTACCGAGTCCGCTGGCCAAGTCCGCAGCGCCATGAGTCATACCTCGTAGAAGTTCATCAACTCCTCACCGTTCATTTCCTTGGTTTGGTTAAGAGGGGTGAACTTGATGTCCTTAGGGGGGAGCGCCTCGTAGGTGAAAGGCCCCTGGATAGTGTCGAGATCGTGGGTGCCGATGGACACGAGAGTTCTTTGACGCGCCAGGTTCTGGTGGAGCTTATCTTGCAGGGCAATGAAGGATTCATAGCGCGCTTGGTCGAACTTGACGTTGCGGAGGATGGCACCGGACACCAAAGGACGGACCTTCATGGTCTGTTCCACATAATCAGTGCCCGATGCTGGGGGCGCAGGCTGTTCAATTGCAACTTACATCCTCCTTGACAATGATCGTCTCGAGCTGTCCACTAGCAGGCTCAACCAATTTGTAGTTGGGAACCGGCTGGCGGCCCAAGAAGATGTTGAGCATGAGGGCAATGCCCTCGAAGCACAGCATGTCATAACTGCGACGGTCTCAATATATGTATGTGTTTCGAGAGAGGTTCTGGATGCATACCGGTTGGCGGGGATCTCGATCTTGAGTTGAGGGGGCTCTTGCTTTCCATTTACGATCGGGCGGTCCTGGTTCGTGGTCTAGTGTCCATAGCTTTATTAGAATCTGATTGTATATCCGATGAGTGCGAAAAGGAGCCTTTACGTCTTCGTCAAGTTCGACACCTAGGAGGTGAACAGTCAGTACATTGATTGCCCCGCCATGGCCGATCTGGATCAACTTACCGAACTCGAAGCAAAGCTCATCGAATTCCTCGGTGGTATACCTGCAACAATTGAGTTAGATATGCAATCGAAAGGTATGTGAGAGGGCGAAAGAAGTGCATACTCCCGTCCGAGCGCCTCGAAGAGGGCGGCCTTGTCGACCGAAATAGTGGGCATGATGAGGGGTTTGGGCTTCGCAGCGTTGTGAGGAAACTGTTGGGGATCAAATCGAGTTGTACCAGCCTCCCATGGACCGAAAAACGACTGTATAGATTAGACCAAGACGACTACCGCGAAATAGGGGTCAGCGAAGAAAGTAGAGGGAGGGAGCGTGGCTGGATGCGCTGGTCAATAATCGTAGAGTCATATAAAGTCTTTTTGACTCTTCGCTCGCAAAGGCGGCGACGATTCGGATGGTCAGCCACATTTCATCTTCTAGCCGCACCGCCACGTGCCAGTTCACCCCTCCGTCACCGTCACCCACTACCTCACCAGCCACAGCCCATGCTTCCTTGAACCTCTCTCTCTCTCTCTCTCCCTCCCAGCAAGTCAGTCGGTCCGTCACTTTCGTAATCTCCCCTTCAGCTACTAACTGTGTTTCACCCACCAGCACCAAACCTACTCTCTTTCCTGATCATATATTGACTCCTCTCATACGAGCTTCTGTTTCGCTTCACAATTCATTTGGAGTGAATTCTGCATCTCCAACTTCTCATCCTGTCGCAATTGTTGAGGTATGCCGCTACCGCTGCTATTATTGCTCAAGTGTCCTGCGGCGGCCCAAACCCCACGAAACCTCCTCCGGGGTTCTTCCTCACCACTCACTGCTCTCCCACCCTCCCTTTTCCCATAGACCACCACCCAAGACCTTCCCCACCCGACACTAATCCATCCGATCTTGAACAGGTGCTCACCATCCTTTGGCCCCTCCTAGAATCGCCCCTCAGTTCCAGAATTCCCTTCCCCTCCCGAGAAAATATTCGACGTGTTCGCGTGCGAGCGGGTCGGACAATAATCGCCTGAGCGAGGACGTGGATCGGTTATAACCTCACCTCTCTGGTTTTCGCTCAAACACTCAACCCGAAAAGTCTTATAATATAGTCGCGATGGAGGGTCAGGGTGAAAACGACGAGCTTTACCCTATCGCCGTCCTTATCGACGAGCTGAAGGTATGATAGTCACCATTGACTCCGCTATTGTCCCCACGTGCGGGCACTGTCGGTCCTGACACTCGATCAATCCAGCACGACGATGTCCTCCTCCGTCTCAATGCTATTCACCGCCTCTCCACCATTGCCTTGGCTCTAGGGCCCGAGAGAACCCGGGAAGAGCTGATCCCATTCCTCGACGGTTAGTCCCCAATATGCGAGAGATGAACGGTGTCACATAGAATGCGCCTAACCTTGCGTTCACAGACTCTGTCGAGGATGAAGATGAGGTTTTGACCGCGTTAAGTGAGGAGCTTGGAAACTTCACAGAATATGTTGGTGGCCCAGAGTACGGGCATGTACTTCTCTCCCCCCTCGAGAATTTGGCCGCTATTGAAGAACCTCTGGTCAGAGAAAAGGTACGGACTCGCGAACGCCTTTACCGGGATCTTTGAATACCTGTTCGATTCATGCTGATGGCTTTGCAACCAGGCCGTAGAATCTCTTAACAAGATCGGAGAGCAGCTGTCCGAGAAACAGATTGAAGAATATTTCATTCCGATGGTTTTGCGCCTGTCGAAAGCCGACTGGTTCACCTCGAAAGTTTCCGCGACTGGGCTCTACTGTGTCCCATATAGGAAGGCTTCGCCCACACTACAGCAAACCCTCCGTCAATACTATGGAAGCCTCGTGCACGACGACACACCAATGGTGAGAAGACAATCAGGAAACAACCTCGCCAAGTTCATCAAGGAACTGAACACCCAAGTTGTTATCGATGAAATGATACCCTTGTTCCAGCATCTCGCCACCGATGAACAGGATAGCGTGCGGCTGCTTACTGTGGATGTGCTTATCTCGATTGCGGAGGAAATCCCCAAGGAGCAGCAGCCCAGCCATGGCGTTCTTCTGACCTCATTGAGGAATCTATTTGAGGACAAGAGCTGGAGAGTTAGATACATGGTTGCCGACCGTTACGAAAAGGTTCGTTGACTACAGAACCTAGCCCAGCCGCAGTTGACTGACAAGGGACATAGATCGCCAAGGCCGTCCACGACGAAGTTGTCACTCGTGACATGGTCCCTTCGTTTGTTAAGCTTCTGAAAGACACGGAAGCTGAAGTCCGCACCGCTATTGCCGGCCAGATCCCAGGTATTAGCGCCGCATCTTGTAACAATTTCGACAGCTGACTCTGGAATAGGCTTCTGCAGCTTGATCGATCGTGATACATTGCTTAATGAGATCATGACGAGTGTTGAAGATCTCGTGTCGGACCCCTCTCAACACGTCCGCGCAGCACTGGGAACTCAGATCAGTGGCCTTGCACCTATCCTTGGCAAGGAGGAGTAAGTGCATATGCTTGAATGCTAGCCTTTTTACTACTCGTTCATTAACGCTGCTTAGGACTACTGCCCATCTCCTTCCGATGTTCTTGCAGATGCTCAAGGATGAATTCCCGGATGTTCGTTTGCATATCATCTCCAAGCTGGAGTTGGTTAACAAAGGTGAGCGAGTATACGCCATGGCAAGACATTAAGTCCATTGACTAACCAAACCAGTCATTGGCATTGACCTCCTGTCCCAGTCTTTGCTGCCGGCTATTGTACAGTTGGCCGAAGACAAGCAATGGCGTGTCCGACTGGCCATCATCGAATATATCCCTCTGCTTGCCAGCCAGTTGGGCGTCAAGTTCTTCGATGAGCAGCTGAGCGATCTTTGCATGGGCTGGCTCGGCGACACAGTCTTTTCCATCCGTGAGGCTGCCACAACGAACTTGAGGAAGCTCACGGAGGTCTTCGGCGTTGATTGGGCCAAGGGATCCATAATCCCCAAAGTCATGGCCATGGGCCAGCACCCCAACTACCTCTACCGGATGACCACGTGCTTCGCCATCTCCGTACGTGAACTCTTGACCTCTCTCAAATCTAGCTACTAACCTCTGTGTAGACTCTTGCCCCAGTTGTATCGATGGATATTATTGAGAACTCGATTCTCCCCATCTTGGACAGACTCGTGTCGGACGAGATCCCGAACATCCGTTTCAACGTTGCCAAGTCCTACGCTGTATTGATTGATACCCTGCGACGCCTGCCGGCGGAAGGAACCTTGACAGAGCTCGAAAAAGCAGGACAGACTGCCAGCCCGTCGCCGCGGGGTCAGGAACTCATCCAACAGAGAATTCTCCCTAGCCTGGAGAAGCTGCAAGGCGACGATGATGTCGATGTGCGGTATTTTGCGACCACTGCCGCTGGCGGCCACGAGGAAGTTATGCAGACTTCACCGTAGGCTTAGCACCATGGGCGCGTGAGTGGGTACTAATATCACGGCACTCCCGCGGATTTGGGTGGAATTCCAGTTTTTGTCCAACTTAGAAACAGTCAGAAGAGCCTGGCTGGTATGAAATGCTTGATGGCGTTCTCCCTGTAGAGTCTTCTTGGTCGACGATCAATAATCCTGCAAAATCAGATCCCGGTACTTTTTTTTCTCTACTCTGATTCTGTATCATGAACCTTGCTGTCTGAGCCCGACAGGCAATGAAGTGGGTGGATGATAGGGGCGTAATCAAGCTCGGTGTCCTATAAATCATGTGATCCCACGTGTATCTCCGTAAAGCCGATGGCGCGATTAGACAGGCATCGGTTTATTTTTCAAACCACATTCACGTGTGGGAGTCCTCTTTAGCGCAGAAGAGCAAGCTGGTTTATGACCGTTGTTCAATTGCCTACTCCTCAATTCCACCCCTTGACCTTCACCCATTGCGGCCGTCGACACCATGACCCTCTCCTGGCCCTGGCATTTTATCACTCTCTCCGATGCAGAGAAGGAGCAGCGTCGCGAGCTCCTAGACCTACGGGGTTCTTACGCTCAATACTCAATGCTAATCGCCATTGTTCTGGTGCGGTTGTATGTATGGGCATCTCAGCCTGGATCCGAGCCCTCCAAGCCCAATCGACGCAAGCCTTCACCCAAGTCTTGGCTGGACTCTCCCCCCTTTGTGGGATGGATTGAGACACGGCGACAGTACCTAGTCTGCTCAGTGTGGCTAGTGTGGCTTTTGAGTCTCTGCATATGGAATTCTGGTGAAGGTATGACCGTTTCCTCTTACCTATGCTATGTCTATAGTTTGAAGCTACATCCGTGATATTACCATTACCGAACCCGTGATTTGTCGCTCAGCGGATAGTATTCCCGCCGCTTAGGAATATCACAACATGGATACACAATCCACAATTTATCAACGAATTGCAACTAACTAGTCTCCAGACTACCTTCATCTCACCAAGTCCCTCGGACATGTCGCTCTCTCTCAGTTCCCTTTCCAGGTTTTGATGTCGCCACCCCTTTATCTCACCTCCAAGCCGGCTTCCCCTTCTCTTATTTCCGTGCTTACCGCCATCCCCCAGCCCACCATCAATGCCTATCATCGACTCTTTGGTCGCCTGGTTATTGCACCCCTACTATTTGGCCATGCCCTTCTCTACGACTCTTTCTTCCTGCAATCCAGCCACCCGGACTTCGGGGTCTTGTTTCTGAAGCGTATCCGCGATGCAGACGTCCAGTGGGGAATTCTGGGCGTGATTGCGGTCACATCCGTGGTGCTGTTTGCTCGTCCAGCCGTGAAGCCTCGGTGGGCTCTGAGCTTGAGGAGCGGATCTGGATCGGCTAAGATGCGACAGCAGGTCTTCTGGGCGGTGCATGTTGGCTTGGTAGCGATACTGGGGATCGCAGCGTATTCGCATGTGGAGTGGGCCAGGATGTATATGATTGAGGGCTTGGTGGGGAGTATGGCTAATGTGGGTTGTGGGCTTTTGCTCTGAGTATAGGCCATGTTGTCATTTACTCTTAAAAGAACTTTTGAATTTCGAGAGACTACTCATGGTAGGCTGGGTCTCGAACGAGTGTGCGTGCATCATAGTATGTCCTTGGTTCAGCTTTATCTGGCTGTGAAGCATCATGGTGGTAGAAGTAACTAGAGTATGGCTTTAAGCGAGCGCTTTTGCTCACCGTGCGAGATGGCCTTCTGAAGGTTGTGCAGGAAACTCCTGCCTACACTGTAGGTGCAAAGAGACCGAATTCTTCCATGAAAAGAAATGACAGAGAAAGCATTTGTCGCAGAAATTTGATTATGACAAGGCTGTAAGATGGAGATAACATATACCGACCTACTACCTAGTATTGATAATTCTTGAAACAAGAATAAAAACAAGATCTGGGCTCGGCTTGATTGTACGGGCAACCGATGGGCCGGGCCTACCTAATCTTGATTGGCCTGTGCTCCAGCCTTGAACTTGATTGCCCGAGGGACCGCCTGTACAACTCTTAGTACTACTAGTTCCCATAATACCTTGCCAACGCTCGTTTTCTGGTCTTTACCATTTAATTGTGCTTGAGTTGAAGTCTCCTCCAAAGTATACCTACCTATTATAGTCTTACACTGTCTGAATTCGCCTTTTGTCTGTGTCTCAACGACCTCAATTGGGCAACATCTAGCTGTGAACAAGTGTGTTGACACTACGCTAAATTGCCATCTACTTCCCCGCAGTGTTGACAATAGATAAACAAAGCCACAGCTGGGTATCAGCCAAAGCTGAGGTCGTCCTTCGATGCACGACCTCTAATACTAACAGCAGAATGCGATCTCAACGGCTGGTAGTCTGGCTAGGAACTTTCATCCTTGTTTCAATCGCTCTAATCTTCGTACGAAGCTCCAATTCCTCTCCAGACACATCGAGCTTTTCGCCCTTGCCTGATCCCCGTCCATCAGCCAATTTACAACGGCCCGAGGTCCCGCCAAACGAGCAGCTTCTTCAGCAATCAACGTATCACAAAGCCTCGACGCCTGCAGGGAAGCATCCGATCGCTGCATTAAGCGAGGATGCAGGTCAAGAATGGGACCAAGTACGGTCCCGCCAATCCAAAACTCTGTCCCAGGCTGTCAAAGAATACCGCCGCCGCTATGGAATGCACCCTCCACCGCACTTCGACAAATGGTTTCATTTTGCGCAATCCAAGGGGGTCCAATTGATCGATGAGTATGATACCATTTACCACTCCCTCCTCCCGTTCTGGGCCCTGAGCCCGAAGACTATCCGTGGGCGGGCCCGCGAAACCCTCGGCTTCGACAACTCCATGATCGGGGTCTTGATCCGGAATGGGACCGTTACGCTGGCCGAGGGAGGAACCGATGAACAGAAATGGCAGCGGAGTGCTACGGTGCAAATGATCAAGAGCTTTGCAGAGTACTTACCCGACATGGATCTTGTGTTTAATGCCCATGACGAACCACGAGTGATTGTCCCGAGTGAGGACCTTCAGCGGCTGGTTACGGCTGCCCGAGAGCATGCTATTCCAGATGCGTCCCTAACTGAGACGCCGAAGAATGCATGGTCCGATCGACCTGCGGACATGAACAAAGGCGACCGGATCGATGAGGTGCGCACCACGCGTTTCAGTCGGTTCTCGCATCAGTCAACATGGAGTTATTCGCGATCATCATGCCCGGTCGACTCTCCCGTCCGGTCGCTTGATGAAGAGCCATTGGATAATATTGACTCCTACGCTCAGGGCGAGCTAGGATTCATCGCGAACACGACCGCCTTCTCGGACATCTGCAACACCCCTTCTCTAAAGTATACGTACGGGTTCTTTGATCGGCCCAACACATTCGAGGTCGTTCATGATCTGTTTCCTGTCTTTTCCCAGAGCAAAATCTCCAGCTACCAAGACATACTCTATCCAAGTCCCTGGTACTATGCAGACAAGGTGCCTTACGAGGCTGCCCGGGACGTCAATTGGGAAGCCAAACTGGATAAGATGTATTGGAGAGGATCTACCACAGGAGGATATTCCCGAGCTGGCGGCTGGCGGCGTCAACATCGGCAGCTGTTCGTGCGGAAAGTCATTGCCCGGGACACCGCTAAGGTACTCGCTAAGCAAGAGGATAGCCAGTGGACACCCACCGAGATCGATCGATCATCCTTGGACGACTTATTCGACATTCAATTTACGTACATTGGACAATGTGACGCGGAAGACTGCGCAGCGCAAAAGGAATACTTTGGAGTTGCAGAACCCGTTGACCAGCAGGATGCCTGGGCCTATCGACACTTGATCGACATCGATGGCAATGCCTTTAGCGGCCGTTTCTATGCCTTCCTACGAAGCAAGAGCTTGGTATATAAGATCTCAATCTTTCGCGAATGGCACGATGAATGGCTCAAGCCTTGGGTTCATTATGTTCCATTGCGGTTAACCGGAGACGATTATTTGGAAGCTGTCCGTTACTTCGTCGAAGATGAGGACGGGAAACTCACAGCCTCGAAGATCGCTCAAACCAGCCATGAATGGGCGCATAGAGCTCTTCGCTCGGACGACATAGAAGTCTGGTTCTTCCGATTATTGCTAGAGTAAGTACGCCCCTCGTTGCGTGTGCATTGGCAGCTCCTGACCTTGAGGTGTGATTTTAGGTATGGACGTCTTGTCGATGACAATAGGGAGAGTCTGGGGTTCTCGCTGTAACATGCGTGTGTCCTTTGAGTGTGATCCTCTCATGTCATTTTATGCTTTGATGTACTGTACCCATCTGTCTTATGATATCCCTAAGTGTTTTAAATAGAGTCTCTACGGAGAAACGAACTGTCCCTCGTGCTTGTCTTCCAATCTGCGGGAGATATAAGCATACAATGACTTCATCAGTGTAGATGGAGCTTCCCCTTCATATGTGGGTTATTCGCTCTGCAATGCAAAAAGGTGGTGCATCCCGAGTGAAACAAGCCCCGGGGGAGCCGGCGATTATTACGTAGTGCATTGCAACTTTTTCCATTGAAAATTACATGTGGGCGGGTTCGAAGTGGGCAACGGCGGGTCAACGGCGCACCATGACTGGCAGCGGCGGACACTGCCCAAACCGCCTATCCACGGGTGGTTCATTTAGTGCCCGTTAGACTACAGAAGTAGTAAGATTAGGAGCTCTCGTAGGGTCTTTTTTCCCTTCTGCTGGATTAGTTACCTCGGAGCTTTTTCTCCTTCGATCACCCTTATCTACTTACTTCTACCATCGGACGGTGTCTCCTTCTCCCCTTTACCTCGAGCTTTTTCTTTTGGTTCGAATAGTCGCTGTACAAACAATTGTTTCAGCCCTCCATCTGAAGCCCGCCTGGGCAGACCAAAGTCATACTTCAGTCAGTCATTATGGCATCGATACTCGGATTCGTGGGATCAAGTGTGATCTTCCTTTACGGGCTTTTCAGTCTTGGGCTCTATGGATTCCGTGCTGTAAGCAAAGGCTATTTCTTCAGGAAAACCACGGAGAAGGAGACCCTCGAACTGCAAATTGGTAAGTGACACCTAATAACTGCCTCGTCTTGGAGACTTCTCGTCTTGCTCGATGCTCACTGCGTGCTTTCGCCTCCATCACAGCTCGCAATCGACTCTGGGACCTTTCACAGAGCTTCTCAGGCCTCCGTCACCATATCCATACTCTGCCGAGCGGGTTCCAATTCCACTATGTCTGCAATGACGGCCCCGGACAGCAGACCGCCACCGACCCACAGAAGC